GGGGGGGGGGCAATGCCTTGGTCCATTTGGTGATGTCCGTTTTGCTACGGTGTGGTGCAGTTGCCGAAGGTGGGAAATTTTGACAGGCGTTGGCGACCGTAAAAAAAAAAACCTTAAAAAGGAATGGACCTCCCCATTCGAAAATCAAATTTCAAATTGGGTGCTGGATGTCACGACGGCGACGCGGGGCAAATGGCGTCCATATCTATGACCGAGCGCCCCGCGAAGGTCCATCGCCATCGCCTCTGCATGCCGCCGCGTCTATGTGTTGAGTCGAGCACACGCGGGGAACGTCGTTGGGGACTTGGCGCTGAGGTTACCGTGGTCATGGCGAGTTGGTAGGCTGTTGTATTTTCATGGTTCATGAGCATTGCATACACGTGCCGATGGAGGGCGGCAGCGATGACGAACGTGCGAAGTTGACGACGATCGAGAAGACGGCCGTGATGGTTGTGCTCTTTTGTTGTCAGCAGGAGAGGGCATTGGGCAGAATGAGAGCGCAGATCCGCGCGTGGAGGAGGAAGACTCTTCATCAAGTCTCGGTCAAAGGGCTGGATACCGTGGCCATCACCGAGGCTGCAGTTTAGGTTTGCTGCGCCATGGGTTGCAGTATTCTTCCACGAGCGACGCCGATGTGGTGGATGAAAAGGAGGATGAGGGGGGCATGGGAGGATCTCAGACAATGCAATGATGCGACGGAGTACTTTTGGGAGAAGCTGCGTATGTTGCCACGTGTCTTTCGGGCGATGGTGATTGCATCCAGTGTGGACGAACGCCCGCGGGATGCGCTGCCGATGTCGATGTCGACTGCAGTCGGTGTCGATCCCTCATCTTCTCTGCTGGAGGCCTTCGATAGAGGTCGGCCATCAACAATAGAGGAAGAGGACCACGACAAGCAAAATTGCGACTAGGAGCAGTAGTGGCAACCTTCAATAGAGGTCGGCCATCAACAACACGTACGACAGGGCCGTAATTATACGACGACGGTGAAGGTCCACCGAACGACGATGATGAAGGGAGCAAACGGTGGAGGACAGCATATGACACAGACACTCTAACGGGTCGTACACCCTTGCACTGCGAGCCGTGTCGTGGCCTGCATGGTGGCTTCTGGAGTAGTCCACTGAAGACCTGCTCTTCGCCTGCCGCCCGTCCATGCTGACGTCCTTCTTCGCAGACCACCTCTTACGTGTACGTACAGGTACCCTGCCGAGGATGCAAACGCGGAAGAAGACGACAAGGACAAGCAAAAGGATGTGACCAGGAGCAGCAACGGAAGCCTTCGAAAGACATCGACCATGAAAGGCAAGTGGGTAAGGGCAATAGCTAGACGATGACAGTACACCTCCAGCAAACGGCGAGGAAGAGGCCTGCAAATGGCAGACCACAGCATGGGACAAACGCCTTGTAACGTTTTTCGTCGCGGAATACAGTGGGCAATTGGAGCAAGGGGGTTGGCTGAAGTATTCAAATTTGCCGACCGTTCGACCCCTTTCCATTTGGCGGCACGCACTGCGAGGGAGAACACTGGTCGACGAGGTCCGTGGGGGCCGACCTTACGCCAACGTAAAGTTCCTGGAAGCCGATCCTTGAAGACCCAAGATGTCCGTGCGCTGCCCGGTAGGAACTCCAATGGACCAGCCGAAGAAAATTTCTTGTTGACGACAGGTGCCTCGCCGCTCCGATTATCACGGATCCTTGACCTCCAAGGGACCTCGGGAGGTCCGTTGGGGAATGCCACCAAATGGCTGTAGCCCGAGGACGCCCCGAGGATTCCCCAAGGAAATGTTTTCACATTTTTTTTTCGTTTTCATCCCCAAAGATAGGTGGAACAAAATTTTCCTCGGGGGATTTACGCACCCGAGGAGTGTCTAACGAGCCCCCTTATCCGTGTCTTTTTCCCTATCCTTGTCTTTATCCTTATCCATCTGGTTGTTGACGTCAACTCTTAAACGGGAAAAAAAGTTGCCATCCTGCCTTTTCAGCCTGGGGGCAAGACTTTGACCTTCTATTATCCTTATCTCTGCTGACATTAAACCACCACTCCCCCCACCTCCCAAAATTCGCGGGGGACAGGTAGGGCTAATTTTGGAAGAGGCCTCAAACCTACGGGCAGCTGCAACTGGTACGACCATCGAAGGGGTACAAAGCCTGACAGGCTCTCAAGTTTTATTTTCCCCTTTTTGGTTTTGTGAATCTCCCACCAAATGCGGCCCGCTTCACTACTCACATCTCATGACGTGCACGGAATAAGTTAGGTCTCGCTTCACAGCTCACAACGTGCACAAAACAGGGGAGAAAAAAAAAGGTTGTGTACCTTTCCACTGTCTAGCTTAAGATTCGTCCTCATTTTGCATGTATGCTGAGTAGTGGAGGGAGACCCTTAGATGCAGTGGGCCATTTCTTTTTTTCCTTTTAGTAATCCAAAAAAAACAACAACGTTGTGTATCTTTCCAGTATCGAGCACAAGATTCGTCGTCATGTTGCATGTGTGGTGTGCAGTGGAGCCAGGCCCATAGGTTCGTTGCTGCCTCTGTCAGTTGGCCATTTCTTTTTGTGTTTTTTAGTGGTCGAAAAAAAAAAAACCGGTTGCGTATCTTTCCAGTATTGACCACAAGATTCGTCCTCATGTTGCACATATGGTGAGTAGCGGAGAGAGGCCCATAGATTTGTCAGTTGGCCTTTTTTTCTTTTTATCAAAAAAAAAAGGAAGGTTGTGTCTTTCCACAACGACGTATCCAAAAACGGTCTTGCTCAACTGCTCACAAAGTACACAAAAGGGGAAAAAAAGGATGTGAATCAAACCAAGTTCCAGCAGAAGATTCATTCTCATTGTTTTCATATGGTGAGTAGTGGAGGGACCCCACTCTTCTTCAAGTTTGTTCCACGGACGGCGCGCTGACAGCCTCTCCAGTTTCTTTTTTTTTTTTTGCATATATCTTCTTTTTTTTCCAAGTATCTTCACTTATTTTTGCGCGCTTTCTTTCTTGTGCATTAAGCGTGTACGACCTCCCCCCCAAACGCGGCCCGTGGGGCCAGGGAAGGCGAATTTTGGCCGTCGGGGGGAGTGGTGGTCTAACCTTATCTTTATCCTTATCCTTATCTTTATCCTTATCTTATCCCTATCCTTATCCTTATCTTATCCCTATCCTTGTCTTTTTCCTTGTCTTTATCCTTATCCATCTTGCTGTGCGTGTCAAGTCTTAAATGGGAAAAACGTTGCCATCCTGCCTTTTCAGCCCAGTCACCAGTGGCAGGACTTTGATGACGACTATCCGTAAATCTTGATGACATCAACCTTATCCTTATCCTTATCCTTATCCGTATCCTTGTCCCCCCAGCTGGCATTATCCGTATCCTTATCACTGGTGAAATTATCCTTACCCTTATCCATGGATGTGCCAGTTGATGTCAACAGTTAAACGGGAAACGAGTTGCGATCATGCCTTTTGAGCCCTCAGCGGCAAGGCTTTGACATCGATATCTCCCGCCCCCTCCGCCGGGGGCATTCTTTGGGTGATTGTTGGGAAGGGTGGGTGGTTTGCCGTCTGTGATAATGACATCTTCTTCGGCCGGGACAACGAGATCTCCAACGGGATCTGCACCAACCACCTACCTGAAGGAATACATGGAGAGTGTGGCCAGCCTGCCAGGAGAGCTGCAGCAGAATTTCCTCCGGATACGAGATCTCGACTGCAGGTCACAGGAACTTCATCAGAACATCGCCGAGCAGTGCACGCTGCGTCTGGAAGAAGTGATGGCGAGAAATGCGAGGTGTGGGGGAGAGGGAGCCGTTGTTGCGGAACGGACGGCGGCGATAGAAAGAGACCAGATTCTCTGTATGAAACTCGCGGACGAGAAGGTCACACTTGCCATGAAGACCTATGACTTGGTAGATGGCCACATAAGGAGGTTGGATAAGGACATGAGGAAGCTTGAGGAGCAGTTGAAGAAAGAGAGGGAGTTTCTTTTCGATACGGCGACGGACATGAAGATGCTAGCCTTCCTTGGAAGGCCTACTGGCGATGGAACGGATGGCAGTAAAGGTGCAGCAGTGGGAGAAGGGGGGGGTGCAGGGGGCCTTCCAGGAGAAGCTGGAGGAGCAGAGTTAGGAGGAGGAGCAGGAGGAGGAGGATCTGCCACCGTCACCAGGATGGTTAATCTGGATCTAGACCTTCCTGTTGATCCCAATGAACCTACCTATTGCTTCTGCAATCAGGTTTCTTATGGTGAAATGATTGCTTGTGACAATCCCTCTTGTAAGATTGAGTGGTTTCATTTTGAATGTGTAGGGTTGACCTGCAGTGATAATCGACCCAAGGGAAAATGGTACTGCCCCACTTGCGCAACAACTATGAAGAAGCGAAAGAAGAAGTAGTCTCCCTGTCCTCCTCTCTCTCTCTCTCTCTCTCTCTCTCTCTCTCTCTCTCTCTCTCTCTCTCTCTCTCTCTCTCTCTCTCTCTCTCTCTCT